GAAGAATAGTAGAGCTTTCACTCCTGTTCCCTTCCTCCTCTCTATTTGCTCCAGGCCCAGCTTTTAAGAAAAATCTTAGTAGTCATCACTTAGATGATTCATTCACACAAGCTTATCTAATGTCAGCATTTCTAATTCCCACCTCTCTTTTGCCGTTACAAAAGTGCAATTAAACTATTTTCACATTTTTAAAACATTTTCACATTTTCTAGGGGATAAGAAAGATGTGCTTTCTGATAGCCTGAGAAGAGATAATTTTCCTACTCAGAAACCTACTTTGTTGTTTATGAGATTCCAAAGACTAGTAGATCTCAACATTTATAAGGCCTGTTTCAAGTTCCCTATGATGTCCATTATATTTTATAACAGACATTGTAGGCTACAGTAAATTTTAAGTGACACTTTAAAATGTTTTTAAAAGTTATTCGTAATGACTATAACTGATGGAAAAATGGGTTATCAGCTAGGCTAACTCAAGTTAGCTAAGACAACTTTTATCTAAGATGTTTCCCCAAGAACAGGATTCCATCAAAATTTCAAATTGCCCTAGGCCGTGGACTTTTGAGGTCATTTGCCAATAGTTAAAAAATATATTCCAACGGTTTCTGCAGAAAAACAACCATTTCCTGGGGTCTTTCTACATACACACTCAGAATGGTACTTAATGCTTTACACACATTCTCATCAACTTGGAGAACAGCCTCTGTTAACTGGTGTTGTTCTCTCACAAATGGGGACCGTAGGAGTAGAAAGGTTAAGTAACTTGCTCAGTGTCACCCAGCTAGCATATGGCAGTACAGTTCCAAACCAAGGACTCGAACTATAAAACCGGTATGCCCTCAATCACCCACTGTCCTGCATCTCCTATTCCCAAGAACAATATAGCAAATCCTCCAACCCCAGAAAGGATTTACTACTCCCATTTTCAAGACCAAGAAATGGAAAGAGCATTTACCTCTCCGTGACTGCAAAGTCAGTTTGAGGAGGGAAAACAGAACTCTCAAGCCCCTGGTTAGCAATCTGTCCACTAGTGCATCTTGTTCTTTGGCTCCAGATCTGTGATCATTCTAAAACAGAAACACAAATAGTTTTATGAATACCAAATATACACAAATGCACATATAATATGAAAAGCAAAATGAGGGCAAGATGAAAACTGATAAAATTGTCAAAAAACAATATACTTGTTAACAGGTGACATTACTAAATGAGGCATTCCATAAATTCTATCAAGCCAATAAAACACTCACACTTATTTTTTAGACATTTGCTTAATATATAAAGGATCTGTAATTATCAAAACAGTACCCCAGTGGGGTGCCTGGCTGGTTCAGTTGGTGGAGCACGTGACTCTTGATCTCAGGGTTCTGGGTTTGAGCCCCAAGTTGGGTATAGAGAGTATTTAAAAAAAAAAAAAATCAAATCTTAAAAAAAAAAGTACACCATTACGATCTTGCAAGCAAATAATGGCCCATGTATGTAGTATATTCAAGCTGACAAAAAATTAATTCTTATAGATATAGTAGTAGTCCTTTAACAGTATCATTTCCTTATATTCAGCAAGTACTGGCTTTACTGATTAAGGTAGTTTATACCACAAGACTGTATTTTTCAGTTTAATAAGATAACTATGGAGAGAGCTTTCACTGACTTGAAATTCCTAGAAGCATAGCAATGAAATACTTTGTTAGCTGACATTTTCCTCCTTAAATTACAAATAAATTAACTGTCAAGCTTCAAGCTTCAGGCAACAGTAGAGTGGAACTTATTAGGAAGGAAGGAAGGAAGGAAGGAAGGAAGGAAGGAAAACTCACAAGTGAAATTAAAGTGCTAAAATTGAGGGTGCCTGGGTGGCTCAGTTGGTTAAGCGACTGCCTTCGGCTCAGGTCACGATCCTGGAGTCCAGGAATCGAGTCCCGCATCGGGCTCCCTGCTCGTTGGGGAGCCTGCTTCTCCCTCTGACCCTCCCCCCTCTCATGTGCTCTCTGTCTCTCTCATTCTGTCTCAAATAAATAAAATCTTTAAAAAAAAAAAAAATTGAGTTAAGAGTTTCCAAACAGGGGCAGCTGGGTGGCTCAGTCGTTAAGCGTCTGCCTTCAGCTCAGGTCATGATCCCAGGGTCCTGAGATCGAGCCCAGCATCGGGCTCCCTGCTCCGCGGGAAGCCTGCTTCTCCCTCTCCCACTCCCCCTACTTGTGTTCCTGCTCTCACTATCTCTCTCTGTGAAATAAATAAATAAAATCTTTAAAAAAAAAAAAAAGGGGCGCCTGGGTGGCTCAGATGGTTAAGCGTCTGCCTTCGGCTCAGGTCATGATCTCAGGGTCCTGGGATCGAGTCCCGCATCGGGCTCCCTGCTCCTTGGGAGCCTGCTTCTCCCTCTGCCTCTCTCTCTCTCTGTCTCTCATGAATAAATAAATAAAATTTAAAAAAAAAAAAAAAATAAAAATAAAAAATAAAAAAAAAAAAAAGTTTCCGAAAAATCTCGCATATCAGGTAAAACTAGGAAGGAATTCATCTCATAATTAACTAAAGCCCATAAAATCAAGCTGATAAAATATTTTCTTAGATGAAGCTAAAGAAGTCTTCTCTGCTAAGAGGCAATTTACAACTTGAATTGAGGATTAGTATATCTAGTCCAAGAAACACTATTTTTTTTTTTAAGATTTTATTTATTTGACAGAGAGAGACACAGAGAGAGAGGGAACACAAGCAGGGGGAGTGGGAGAGGGAGAAGCAGAATCCCTGCTGAGCAGGGAGCCCAATGCAGGGCTCGATCCCAGGACCCTGGGATCCTGACCTGAGCCGAAGGCAGACGCTTTAACGACTGAGCCACTCAGGCACCCCAAGAAACACTTTTGTATTGGAGTCCATATATTGTTACTAGCAGGTCTCAAAGGAGATGAGATTTTATGTACCTCAACATTCTAAGGGTGAATAAAAATGAAGATCAAGTATGGAAAAATCACTATTCTTGGTATATATATTAGCAGTCTATACGCATTGTTCCATCTTTGCACTCAAATACTAATCACTAAGAAAATGCACAAAGATACTGCCAGAGAAGATTTGAAGATAGTGACTAGATAAAGTTTAGGGATGTTTAGAAAAACAAATATGGTATGCCAAATCCACACATCCAATTGCAAACCAGGGTCTTCAAGATTACACATTATTTGCCATTATTGTTCTTTCCAAAGCGGTATGCTCTTTCTCGAAGTATTAAATTATGACAAATTTTAGTTGTTTGAAGAAGGACATGATTTCTAGCAAAAGAGCTGAAGTCATCTGGGACCAAGACAGGTAAATAGGGTAGATAGATGATCAACTAAATTTCTGGTCTTAAAAAATGAAATGGAGGCTATAAAATGGATGATGGGGAGTAAATTTGATGCCAGCAGCATCCCTAAAGCAAAACAAAACAAAACAGAAAGTCTCTAGAGGAGACTTTTTGCCAGCAGGCACCACTGTGCAAGGCTCTGCCACAGGACTCCTCCGTGAGGCCTTAGTCAGCCACAGGTGGCCTCTGTACTCCCAAAGATCTCCCTCATTTTGTGTGTTGTTTAAAGCAAAATCCTAAAGCTCTTAGAATTGGAATGCATCTTATTCTAAGAATGACTTTTACAACTTCTAAATTTTCTTACGTTGGTTGAATAGATCCCTAAGGATGACTTTTACAATTCCTCTTGAATATGCAGTATTTTCTTAAGTGGGCAAACATTCCTGTTGTAATCTTTCTCATGTTACTCATTTAAGTAATAAGTTCCTTTGTGTAACCTTATATCCTCAATTTATTCTCTGTAGATTTCATTTTCCAATAAAGTATGAATCCTGGCATACAGGAAATCTCAAAGAATAGCAACTCTGTAGACAAAGTCTATACCATTAAAACAGCATAAATGATATGAAAGACTAAGAAGATGATGACTGCAGAGGGCAGAACTGTATGAAGAAACAAAACATGGTCTGTGGAGCACAACACTAACCAGGGAAAACAAGCTTTGCTCCTGGATCAATTACAGATCTTCTGGATTTTAATCTTTAACCCGAATAGAGCTTATTTTTATAAGTAAAACAGACTACCTGCCATCCACAATGTCAAAAGGAAAATAAAACCAAAAATCTCAAGAAATGCAAAAAATTACACAAATGGATTAATTTATTAGACAATTAAGCATAGTTCTGTTCTCAAATCTAACACTTCATCAACACTACTGCATTTGTTAGTGCAATTTTACTTTTACCAGAGAGCAGGGGGAGAAGGAATGTTTTGTAGGGTTAAAAAAAAAAGAGATGCTGAAAGACTCTCCTATAGAGGCAGATTCCTGCAAAATCCTACAGATTGAGATTACACACAGCAGACCCGACAACTTTGCTTAGCACCAGGCTGTTTTAATTTCCTCATACGCTTAACATAGCTTTTCTTAAAAAAAAAAAAAAAAGTTAATCAAAACCTTCCTCTCTCCAAAGCAACCCAAGCTGACACATCAACTACTGCACGATACTGTATTAAAGTACTAGAACATTTCAGGAACATAAGAGAGAAAACTATGGCAATCCAACAGGAAGCTTTTTAATCATTCAAGAAGACAATTAAGGACAATAAATTTAATATACATGCCCTGTTTAACTTCTTTTACCGCCTATAGGGGACGTAGATTTTTACCTTTCCTAGTTGATTTAAACTCAAAGCATGAAGACTACGTATGCGAATGTTTACTTAATGCTGCACTCTGGGCTACAGGAAGTCAGCTACTAAAGAGTAGTTACATTAGGCGTAGATATTTATAAACCAACTGCAACTAGTGACCCAGGATTCAATTACAACATCAACCCTCATATTTCAGCGTATGGGCAAATTACCAGTGGAGTCAAGAATAAATTCATTCTGCCCTACTGACGCTTTAGATCGGGTTGCACAATCCCGGGGCAGAACTGCCTTCGTCTAGCCCTAAAGCATCAAGTACTAAATACTGTACTAAGTTAGCTCGGGACATTTTAAAGCGGGAAGGAAACTCAAGGGTCGCCTGAACCAATTTAGCCAGCCCATAATCCCGAATTCAGGAATGTGTCACGTCACTTGAGATCAGAACGAAATTAAGTTTTGATCCCTTTGAGATCTCTTAGCGCACAAAGTCAGGCTATCACTACAAGGGGAGTCCGACCCTGGCTGTAGAAAAACTACTTGGTGCGGAACTCGAGTCTCTTCCGCCCACCGTGGGGGACCGCATCGGTCAGGTCCAGCGAGGAGCCCCGCCGTGAGTTTGGGGGCGCAGCCGGGCCCGGCGGGGGCGGCGAGCGCGCGTCCCCCCGCCCGCTCAGGCAGCGTCGAGGCGCGAGCAGCTCAGCCAGCCTTGCAGAGGGAGCTCTCGGCAGCTCTGGGGTCCCTCTGCTCGCAGCCGCAGCAGCGCCGCCTGCGCCACTCGGCGGAGACGGAGACCAGCGGCGGCGGCGCACAGACTGGGAGCGACCGCTGAGCAGCCGACCGGCAGGGGTATGCTCGCAAAGCGGCCGGGTAGGTTCCGGGGACCGGGCAAGCTGGAGGAGGGGCAGCCCGAGAGGCGTCGGCCAGGGCCCGACACCCATACTACACGGAAACCGGGCTGCGCGCGCGGCAGCAGTGGGTCCGGACCCTACAGCAAGGCGGGCGCGGGAGCCGGGACACAGAGATCGCCTTTCGGCTGCGGCCACCCGCCGCGGGAGGGGCGGAGGGCAGAGGGCGGGCCGCGGCCGGGCAATCAGTCGGGCCAAGAGCCGGCCTCGAGGGCAGAGACAAAGGAAGGAAAATGGAGTCGCCGGCGCGCGGGCCTCTGTTGCCGCCGCCGCCGCCGGAGGCCTAGCGCGCCGCCAGGAGGGAGGCCTAGCGGGAGGGTGTGGGGGGGGCGGCCGGGCCGCGGCGGCGACGGGCAATGGCGGCGGCCGCGCCGCAGCAGGGACGGTAGAGGGAGACAAACACCCCCCGGCGGCGGCGCTGGCGCCGGGCTGCAGCCAGCGCCGACCGGAGCGGCCCCATCGTGACACCTAGAGGCGGCCCGCGAAACCTCCTCCACCCCGGGCCCCCTTACCTCCGCGCCACACCCCCTGCAGCGCCCGCTCCGCCGCCGCTCCACCGCTCCGGCCACCCGGCGTCCCCGGCCAGCTCCGCGCACCCGCACGGGCTACCGCCACCGCCGCTGCCGCCAAAGAAGCAGCTCCGCGCACGGTTTAATCGCTCCACAGGCTCGGGCACAAAATGGCGGCGGCGCGGTGCAGTGCGCCTGCGTCGGCGCTGCCGGGGCCGCGGGTGCTGATAAGGGAAGGGACGGGTGGGGGGGCCGGCCGGGCGACGAGTGGAGGGCGGGGGAGGAAAGGTGAGGGGAGGGGTTGGCGCAGGGCAGCATGGGAGGCGGCCCCGGGCGCCAACTTTCAAAAACGGGCGCGATGGCGTCACGGGACGCGCCGCGAGTCGCGTCACGCCGCACGCGCCCTCCCGCGCCCTCGCCCGGTCGCGCGTGGGCTCTGCGGGCGCCGCGACGTCCGGGCTCCCGCTGGGTGGGGCTTCCTGGGCGGAGGCCGCCGCCTCTGGGCTGTACAGGATCCCAGGCTTGTTTGACCTGGTTCTCTAGCCGCAGTCTCCCGCCCTGAACCCGTAAAGGGGGGGTTGGGGGTGGGAGGGAGGGTGTTTGGAGGAAGCGCGCGCCGGGCTAGTTGGTGGAGCAGAGGCGGTTCTTGGGCCGGGCCCCGCCCAAGTCTCCGCCCAAGTCTCCGCCCTAGCCGGGCCGGACCCTCCCTCCCAGCTCCCCACCGCTGCCAGCCACGGTGTTAAGGCCGGGCTGGTCCCCATACACTCCCAGCTCCTCAGAACTGTACAGCGCCCGCGAGAGAGAGCGAGAAGGGCTGTCCTTGCCCAGTGGCTTTTGAGGGATCTCTCCGCCTCCTAAAACCGGGTGCAAGAGAAGGCATGGGCTTCCCCTTGGTGTCACCAGGCCACTTCAGCCAAGAAAGGCCAACGGAAGACCAGATTTGATGCTTTTACACGACCATACCGGTCTTTTGCCAAAAGAACTTTCTTATTTGGCGTGATTTAATGCTGTATTTTTTTTTTAAGATTTTATTTATTTATTTGAGACAGAGAGAATGAGAGAGAGAGAGCACATGAGAGGGGGGAGGGTCAGAGGGAGAAGCAGGCTCCCTGCCGAGCAGAGAGCCCGATGCGGGACTCGATCCAGGGACTCCAGGATCATGACCTGAGCCGAAGGCAGTCGCTTAACCAACTGAGCCACCCAGGCGCCCAATGCTGTATTTTTAAACGTGCATTTCTTGTCTCTGCTCGAGAGTTAAGTTCTCTGTGGGCGGTGCCTTTCAGCCCTTCAGCCTTACAGTGCGGTCGTCCCTCCCCCTCCCCAGGAAGCACCTGCGGATTCTACCCAACCAGCGGTGAAGTTCACCGACCACAGACTGGAAGACGTTCTGGTGACCCAGAGAGGAGAGCCTTTGGTACTTAGGGGAATCTGACTCGGGACTGTATTGTGAACTCCCGTACCTTAGATGTCACGGACAACAAACGGACCCAGCATCAAGGAGACAGTTTTTGCTCCATTCAGCTGATGGTTCTATTATGAGGATGCCAGTCCAATATTGACATTTTCTCGGGGTTTTGTTGAAAAAGGGAATCAGAAATCTAGATTTTTGTAATGTAAAATCTTCAGGTATTTAGGTGTTAGCAACTCAGGTGTTTTTAAACTGTATGAGCTGATTAAACCATATATATGTGTGTGGGCTATCACTTGGAGGAAAGAGTGAAGAGAAATTCCAAGGCCAGATCCTAGACACTCCAGCATTTAGAAATAGGATAATGGAGAAGGAAACTAAAAGGGGGCAGCCAGGAAGACAGAAAAAAGTCCACAAGCATGTTGAATTTGGAATCCATGGGCAGAGAAGGTTTCCGTAGGGGGGAGTGGTCAACTGTGTCTAATGCTGCTGAGAGGTCAACTTGGGCCAGAGACATGGCTTTTGGATTGGTCACCTTGGAATTCAATGGAGAATATCATTGGCAAATTTGGCTTGATTCATGTTGGTAAATCGAGACTTGAACCTCACTAGAATGGGTTGAGAATGAATGGAAAAGTAAGGAAATAGAGACAGCACACGTAGGCAACATGAGAAGTTTTGCTGTGAAGGGAGCAAAGAAATTTAGGGATAACTGGAAAGATACCGGCTCAAGGGAGGAGATGTTTTAAAAAATGGTAGGGTTCTGGAGCATGTTTATGTGCCATTGGGAGTGATATAGGAGAGAGAAGGCTTGCTTGACCTATATAGGAGTGAAATCCATGAGAGGATATAAGGAAACTAGGAGGACTAACCTTGGATAGGAACAGGATGCTTCCATTGTGATAATGGGTAATAAAGGTGAAGATCAATGCAAATGCTGGTGAGGGTAGGGGGAGCAAGCGTACAACTTTCCTAGTAGGACTGCCTTGGCAGCATTGGGTACCCATTTGAAGTTTGTGATCATGAATTTAAAGTTAAACCAGTTGGCCTAGTATGTGTTTTTTTCCAGCAATATTCAGCTGCTTGGGTACAGACATGCAGGAAAGAGATAATTTGGTTTCTCAACACCAGGGCCCAAGTTTTCTGGTTCCTAATCTCAGGTACTTGCCTTATTAATCACTTACTTAATATTCTAGAAATGTGTGAATATTTGAAAAATTTACATGTGACCCCTTTTTCTAGAAACCAAATGATTCCATTTGTCTCTTATGTATACCCGAGGACTCAAAAATAAAGGCAAACTTAGTGGAAATTACCAGATACCTCTGGAATATTTGCATCTTGCATTTTCTTCAGTCCTCCACCCCATACACCTCCTGGTATACCTGGAAACTATGTACTGGGAACAACAAGGCTGACTTGCGCTTAAAATCTTAGCTTCTTTTTCTTTCTAGCACCTTTAATAATCTGATTAATAAACTTTCTGTAAGACTTTACCTCAAACCATCTTCCTTATCTTTAAGAGTAAGCTATAAGAATGTTTTCTAAAGCTTTAATATGGGCAAATATAAGTCAATGTATTTAGATGGAAAAAACTTCAACTATATTTAAAATGATATTTACAGCTGCTATGGCCTGAATATTTGTGTCCCTCTCAAAATTCATATTTGAAATCCTAATGCTCAATATTAGTAGGTGGGGCCTTTAGGAGGTACCTAAGTCATGAGGGTGGAACCCTCATAAATTGAATAAATGCCTTGTAAAAGAGGCTTAATAGAGATCCCTAGTCCCTTCCACCATGTTAAGGACACAACCAGAAGGCAACGGCTATGAACCAAGAAGAGGGCCTTCATCAGAATGCAATCATGTTGGTACCTTGATCTTGGACTACCCAGCCTCCAGAACTGTGAGCAATAAATTTGTTGTTATAAGCCACCCAGCCAGTGGTATTTTGTTATAGCAGCCTGAGACAACTATATTTATAACAACTATTATCAAGGGCGCCTCTTTGGCTCAGTTAGTAGAGCATGTGACTCTTGATCTCAGGGTTGTAAGCTGGAGCCCCACACTGGGTGTAGAGATTACTTGCAAGTAAAATCTTTAGGGGTTCCTGGGTGCCTCAGTCAGTTGCGCGTCTGACTCTGGTTTCCGCTCAGGTGGTAATCTCATGAATCCCAAGATCGAGCCTGCACGGGGTTCTATGCTCAGTGCTCAGTGGGAAGTCGGCTTGAAGATTCTCTGCCCTTCCCCCCATGCCTGCTCACACTCTCTCTCTAATAAATAAATCTTAAAAAAAAAACCTATCAATTGTATGACCTCTGAAGCATGAGTTAGAAGCCAAGAGTGGGGTCCAAGTGGCCTTGGAGCCTGCTTTCTGAAGACAAAGATCCCAGGTGCTATTCTGACCCAGGGCTGAGAAAATGCTGAGGATCACTAGAAAGGAACAAAAGGAAATGCTTCTTCTCCCTGTAGGAAACAGGGATATGTCCTGTTTCACGGAATTGACTCCAAAGACCAAGAAATGGAGAGCCAAACCAAAAGGATAGGATGCTTCAGGCTGGACAGAAACAAGCTGAGAGCAAAAAGTAATATGATGAAAGCATGTGAAACCACTGGGAAGATAAAAATAAGGACAGATTTGTTCCCTGCAGTACTACTCCAGACTACCTCACCAATGAGAACTGTGGTGATTTAAAACCACTCTGTGATTTAAGGAAGAATTCTTCTCATGAACTCTAAGGTTTGTAGTCCACAGGAGTCCAGGGCATTATCAGCTGGGGCTGTCAGCTTACCACATGGCAATGTGAAGTCACCACGTTCCAGGATCTGGTCCTCAGCCTCATGGGCAGGACGAGAAATGTAGTCTGTATCGTAAGAGTGTATTTCTTCCTTAGGGACTTGTCAGGTTCACAGGAGCTTGATGGATAAGCAGAGGGCTGCTTTACTAACTGGCAAGTGGACCAGTGTCCTTGTGCTGGCAAAAGGCATGTTCTTTCCCTACAGGAGAGCCTCCTGGGAAGCCAAATTACTAGAAAGCTTGGTGAGCAGTTGATTAGATTAAGATATGTAAATTACATAACTTAAATGTTTAATATTGCCCTCTCTAGATGCTAGAGTCAGATTGTCCAGGATTTTAATCTTATCTTGGCTCTTTATTAGTTGTGTGATCTTGGGTGAATTATAACAACTGCAGATTTCTTCTCTATGAGATAGGATGATAATTGTACTTCACACAGGATTAAACAAGAAAATGCAAGTAAAGCTCTTGGCATAATTCTAGACACCAGTAATCGTACAAAAAATGTAAACTATTATTATTTTACTGTTATGCTTCTTGTTACCTACCTTCACTCCCAAATCATCCTTCTAGTGGACACTGTCTTTCTAGATTCATTAACAGAATCAGTTACTGACTGGGCTTTCCTTGGCCTGGGAGCCATTCTTTCTGGGAAAGGTGTACTTTGTGCTGTAATTCTCAGAAAACAATTCTATTTCCAAGATCTTCCTTGGTTCCCCCGTTGCCCCATGTAAAGTCTGCTATTATTACGATCACTTATGTTTCGTTTTGTTTTTGTTTTTGTTTTTAACTCTTTAAGCAAGAAAATCAACAATGGAGGAGAGGTGTTGATTTTCTAAGTAAAAATGGGCAGGAATCTTCTTGCCCACTTTGGGGGTAAGACCTAAAGTTACACCTGAATACCCCTGTTGTGTCTGTATCTATTATGTGAGATAGAACCCAATTTAGCAAACATTTATTGAGTACCTGCTGTTCTAGGCACTGGGGATATAAAAGTGACCCAAAATGTGTTTCCTGTCCTTGAACTCAAAGTTTAACTGGTCAGACTGGTTAAAAAAAAAAACAAAACAGAACAAAACAAAAAATTATTGTGAAAATGGTTATAATGGGAAGAAGTGGATTCACAGACAAAGGAGTAAATCATTCTCTAGGAGTATCTCATTTCAACTGGGTGGTAAAGGATCAGAAGGCATTAACAAGCAAGGCAAGTCATGTAAGGTGAAAAGGAGCCATAATCAAGAGCATAAAAGGGCACAAGAATGTTGGGAGACAGCAAGTCATTCTACACCATTGAACTAGGGACACTAAACTTTTTTTTTTTGACACTAAGCCTTACAAGACATTTGGAAAGTTTTCACAGTGTCAAGGGCAGCCACTTTCTCCTAACATTTTAAAGACCTGCCCTTTCATATCATCTCCTACCCAGACCACAAGGACTTTTTCTTTACTGATGTCTACTTTTTTTAGACCCCTGTAAAAAGCCACGTTTATTTTTTACCTCTTAACTCAAATTACTGCTTTCTAGAGTCTAAAGGACTTTACCTAGACCTACATCCCACACTGGGGGATGTGCTCTTTTGTTTTCTGTGCTCTAACCTACATTTTTCAGGCATGCATTGATCACCTTTTAATAATCCATCTCATCGGGGTGCCTGGGTGGCTTAGTCATTAAGTGTCTGCCTTCGGCTCAGGTCATGATCCCAGAGTCCTGCGATCTAGCCCCGTGCATCGGGCTCCCTGCTCAGCGGGAAGCCTGCTTCTCCCTCTCCCACTCCCCCCTGCTTGTGTTCCTTCTCTCGCTTTGTCTCTCTCTGTCAAATAAATAAATAAATAAAATCTTCAAAAAAAAATCCATCTCATCTGTACGTCTTTCATTTTGCAAAACATCTTCACGTCTGCCCTTTCAGTTGATGTTCACAGCTCCGTTTGAAGAGCCAGACACAGTTTTGTCCTAAACTCAAGAAATGATGTGACTTGCTCAGAGTCGTCCAGTAACTTGTTGGAAAAACCAGAAATGAGTGCTCAGATCTTCCAGCCCCAGCCCCTCTCTTCCAGTTCTTTCAATGGCTGCTCAGAAGTCCTCACTGTCAGATAACATTTCCATTTTTATAGGGATCCTCTAGAGATGATGCTTAGCTCACAGTTTGCCTTGGAAGGGCAAGAGGTAGGGGAAAGGAGGTCTATCAGGAAGGCTCTGCATCTCTGCTCCCCTCATGCTCTGCCACATCCCTAAATGTTATGGGATTAGTTTAGAGGAAATGGTTTCTGCCCCTAAAAAAGTTGGACACTATTGCCTTAACTCAAAGGAAGGGCTTTAATTTTGAAAATTTCAGGCATTTGGAAGGCAGATAGCAGAAGTATTTGG